AAGCCCTTTCAAAACCCTACATTTTGGACTACATGGACGACCCTCTACTCCCAATAGAAGCGGAGATATCGACGGATGAAGGCTGGATATCGACGGAGAAAGGTTAGAAAACTTTAACCTTCGATATCTCCTAAACGGTTAGAGATACAGGCTTCGAACAGGTACCAAATTAAAGCCCTTTCAAAACCCTACATTTTGGACTACATGGACGACTCTCTACTCCCAGTAGAAGCGGAGATATCGACGGAGAAAGGTTGGAAAACTTTAACCTTCGATATCTCCTAAACGGTTAGAGATACAGGCTTCGGACAGGTACCAAATTAAAGCCCTTTCAAAACCCTACATTTTGACTACATGACGACCTCTACTCCCAGTAGAAGCGGAGATATCGACGGAGAATGGTTGGAAAACTTTAACCTTCGATATCTCCTAAACGGTTAGAGATACAGGCTTCGGACAGGTACCAAATTAAAGCCCTTTCAAACCCTACATTTTGGACTACATGGACGACCCTCTACTCCCAATAGAAGCGGAGATATCGACGGATGAAGGCTGGATATCGACGGAGAAAGGTTGAAAACTTTAACCTTCGATATCTCCTAAACGGTTAGAGATACAGGCTTCGGACAGGTACCAAATTAAAGCCCTTTCAAAACCCTACATTTTGGACTACATGGACGACCCTCTACTCCCAATAGAAGCGGAGATATCGACGGATGAAGGCTGGATATCGACGGAGAAAGGTTGGAAAACTTTAACCTTCGATATCTCCTAAACGGTTGGAGATACAGGCTTCGGACAGGTACCAAATTAAAGCCCTTTCAAAACCCTACATTTTGGACTACATGGACGACCCTCTACTCCCAGTAGAAGCGAGATATCGACGGATGAAGGCTGGATATCGACGGAGAAAGTTTGGAAAACTTTAACCTTCGATATCTCCTAAACGGTTAGAGATACAGGCTTCGACAGGTACCAAATTAAAGCCCTTTCAAAACCCTACATTTTGCACTACATGGACGACTCTCTACTCCCAGTAGAAGCCGGAGATAATCGACGGAGAAAGGTTGGAAAACTTTAACCTTCGATATCTCCTAAACGGTTAGCGATACAGGCTTCGGACAGGTACCAAATTAAAGCCCTTTCAAACCCTACATTTTGCACTACATGGACGACCCTCTACTCCCAGTAGAAGCGGAGATATCGACGGATGAAGGATGGGTATCGACGGAGAAAAGTTGGAAAACTTTAACCTTCGATATCTCCTAAACGGTTAGAGATACAGGCTTCGGACAGGTACCAAATTAAAGCCCTTTCAAAACCCTACATTTTGGACTACATGGACGACTCTCTACTCCCAGTAGAAGCGGAGATATCGACGGATGAAGACTGGATATCGACGGAGAAAGGTTGGAAAACTTTAACCTTCGATATCTCCTAAACGGTTGGAGATACAGGCTTCGGACAGGTACCAAATTAAAGCCCTTTCAAAACCCTACATTTTGGACTACATGGACGACCCTCTACTCCCAGTAGAAGCGGAGATATCGACGGATGAAGGCTGGATATCGACGGAGAAAGTTTGGAAAACTTTAACCTTCGATATCTCCTAAACGGTTAGAGATACAGGCTTCGGACAGGTACCAAATTAAAGCCCTTTCAAAACCCTACATTTTGCACTACATGGACGACTCTCTACTCCCAGTGGAAGCGGAGATAACGACGAGGAAAGTTTGGAAAACTTTAACCTTCGATATCTCCTAAACGGTTAGAGATACAGGCTTCGGACAGGTACCAAATTAAAGCCCTTTCAAAACCCTACATTTTGGACTACATGGACGACCCTCTACTCCCTGTAGAAGCGGAGATATCGACGGATGAAGGATGGATATCGACGGAGAAAGTTGGAAAACTTTAACCTTCGATATCTCCTAAACGGTTAGAGATACAGGCTTCGGACAGGTACCAAATTAAAGCCCTTTCAAAACCCTACATTTTGGACTACATGGACGACCCTCTACTCCCAGTAGAAGCGGAGATATCGACGGATGAAGGATGGATATCGACGGAGAAAGGTTGGAAAACTTTAACCTTCGATATCTCCTAAACGGTTAGAGATACAGGCTTCGGACAGGTACCAAATTAAAGCCCTTTCAAAACCCTACATTTTGGACTACATGGACGACTCTCTACTCCCAGTAGAAGCGGAGATATCGACGGATGAAGACTGGATATCGACGGAGAAAGGTTGGAAAACTTTAACCTTCGATATCTCCTAAACGGTTGGAGATACAGGCTTCGGACAGGTACCAAATTAAAGCCCTTTCAAAACCCTACATTTTGGACTACATGGACGACTCTCTACTCCCAGTAGAAGCGGAGATATCGACGGATGAAGGCTGGATATCGACGGAGAAAGTTTGGAAAACTTTAACTTCGATATCTCCTAAACGGTTAGAGATACAGGCTTCGAACAGGTACCAAATTAAAGCCCTTTCAAAACCCTACATTTTGACTACATGGACGACTCTCTACTCCCAGTAGAAGCGGAGATATCGACGGAGAAAGGTTGGAAAACTTTAACCTTCGATATCTCCTAAACGGTTAGCGATACAGGCTTCGGACAGGTACCAAATTAAAGCCCTTTCAAAACCCTACATTTTGCACTACATGGACGACTCTCTACTCCCAGTAGAAGCGGAGATATCGACTGAGAAAGGTTGGAAAACTTTAACCTTCGATATCTCCTAAACGGTTAGAGATACAGGCTTCGGACAGGTACCAAATTAAAGCCCTTTCAAAACCCTACATTTTGGACTACATGGACGACCCTCTACTCCCAGTAGAAGCGGAGATATCGACGGATGAAGATGGTATCGACGGAGAAAGTTGGAAAACTTTAACCTTCGATATCTCCTAAACGGTTAGAGATACAGGCTTCGGACAGGTACCAAATTAAAGCCCTTTCAAAACCCTACATTTTGGACTACATGGACGACTCTCTACTCCCAGTAGAAGCGGAGATATCGACGGATGAAGACTGGATATCGACGGAGAAAGGTTGGAAAACTTTAACCTTCGATATCTCCTAAACGGTTGGAGATACAGGCTTCGGACAGGTACCAAATTAAAGCCCTTTCAAAACCCTACATTTTGGACTACATGGACGTCCCTCTACTCCCAGTAGAAGCGGAGATATCGACGGATGAAGGCTGGATATCGACGGAGAAAGTTTGGAAAACTTTAACCTTCGATATCTCCTAAACGGTTAGAGATACAGGCTTCGAACAGGTACCAAATTAAAGCCCTTTCAAAACCCTACATTTTGCACTACATGGACGACTCTCTACTCCCAGTAGAAGCGGAGATATCGACGGAGAAAGGTTGGAAAACTTTAACCTTCGATATCTCCTAAACGGTTAGAGATACAGGCTTCGGACAGGTACCAAATTAAAGCCCTTTCAAAACCCTACATTTTGGACTACATGGACGACCGTCTACTCCCAGTAGAAGCGGAGATATCGACGGATGAAGGATGGATATCGACGGAGAAATGTTGGAAAACTTTAACCTTCGATATCTCCTAAACGGTTAGAGATACAGGCTTCGGACAGGTACCAAATTAAAGCCCTTTCAAAACCCTACATTTTGCACTACATGGACGACTCTCTACTCCCAGTAGAAGCGGAGATATCGACGGAGAAAGTTTGGAAAACTTTAACCTTCGATATCTCCTAAACGGTTAGAGATACAGGCTTCGGACAGGTACCAAATTAAAGCCCTTTCAAAACCCTACATTTTGGACTACATGGACGACCCTCTACTCCCTGTAGAAGCGGAGATATCGACGGATGAAGGATGGATATCGACGGAGAAAGGTTGGAAAACTTTAACCTTCGATATCTCCTAAACGGTTAGAGATACAGGCTTCGGACAGGTACCAAATTAAAGCCCTTTCAAAACCCTACATTTTGGACTACATGGACGACTCTCTACTCCCAGTAGAAGCGGAGATATCGACGGAGAAAGCTTGGAAAACTTTAACCTTCGATATCTCCTAAACGGTTAGAGATACAGGCTTCGGACAGGTACCAAATTAAAGCCCTTTCAAAACCCTACATTTTGGACTACATGGACGACCGTCTACTCCCAGTAGAAGCGGAGATATCGACGGATGAAGGATGGATATCGACGGAGAAAGGTTGGAAAACTTTAACCTTCGATATCTCCTAAACGGTTAGAGATACAGGCCTGGCTCTGGTACCAAATTAAAGTCCTTTCAAAACCCTACATTTTGCCGTATATGGCGACTCTCTACTCCCAGTAGAAGCGGAGATATCAACGGAGAAATGTTGGAAAACTTTAATCTTCGATATCTCCTAAACGGTTAGAGATGCAGGCCTGGCTCTGGTACCAAATTAAAGTCCTCTCAAAATCCTACATTTTGGACTACATGGAAGACTCTCTACTCCCAGTAGAAGCGGAGATATCGACGGAGGAAGGCTGGATATCGTCGGAGAATGGTTGGAAAATTTTAACCTTCGATACCTCCTAAACGGTTAGAGATACAGGCCTGGCTCTGGTACCAAATTAAAGTCCTTTCAAAACCCTACATTTTGCCGTAAATGGCGATTCTCTACTCCCAGTAGAAGCGGAGATATCAACGAAGAAAGGTTGGAAAACTTTAATCTTCGATATCTCCTAAACAGTTAGAGATACAGGCCTGGCTCTGGTACCAAATTAAAGTTCTCTCAAAACCCTACATTTTCGACTACATGGACGACTCTCTGCTCCCAGTAGAAGCGGAGATATTAACGGAGAAAACTTGGAAACTTTAACCTTCGATATCTCCTAAACGGTAAGAGATACAGGCCTGGTTCTGGCACCAAATTAAAGTCCTCATGTTACAAATGCATAACAATGCTCGAGACCGTTCTTGTCAATTACGCTTTTATGGTTGTAGCACGGACATAAACCGCCTGAAAGTGGATGTAGCACGGACAGCCACCAGATTCAGTTTTTACCGTCGAGACCTAAAAGTGGTTGTAGCATCGTAGTTCCCCTCTCAAAATGGATGCTGATAGCGCCCATTCCCAGTGCGAAAAATCGGTGTCGCCGAAAACGCCGTGTTGGCCGCTCTCAGCTTCCTCTCAGATATTACCTCGTCGTTGTGGAAATGAAGTGAGTGAAATGTTATGAAATATATCTGACAGTTTTACTTCAACTTCTTCAGAGGACGCATGCACATGAGTGTCACCGAAAAACTTTACGACGTGGCCATTCTTAGATTTCTCTTTGATATTATCGATCTGTGGCAACACAATCTATACAATCACAATCCCACAATTTGTGGTAACACGTAAATATTTATCATTTTCAACTGCAAACGAGTTTCGGAGCGTGTATTTTTCACTTATAAAATCGCTTGCAAACACTTTTAAGAATTTAATATAGTTACAAGTAAGTTAAACTGTTTTTTTGAATATTAATGGATTTTATAGTTGTAAACATAGTATTGATAATGAATACATATTGAACTGCTTATATACTTTGAAAGCACGTCATATATAGTTACGAATGACTTATAAATTGTTAATTCTGTGTCCCTGTTAATTGTATAGCTAACATTAATCTGATATATGTAGAGTAATTTCTTTATTTGAATATTTTTAGAAAGTTTCTTTTCACATAGAGGTTTAAATTCAATTCAGTTTACTTTAACATGACTTACTGCAATAAAATTAAAAAAAAAGCATGTTTTTTAAAGGTAATTATAGTGAATATTATGTACTTTAGAATGTCAGGTCGAGAAGGAGGTAAGAAGAAGCCCTTGAAGGCACCAAAGAAGGAATCTAAAGTTTTAGATGACGAAGACGTCGCATTCAAGCAAAAGCAGAAAGAACAACAGAAAGCACTGGCTGAAGCAGCAAAGAAAGCCAGTCAAAAGGGCCCTCTAGTCACTGGTGGTATAAAAAAATCTGGAAAAAAATGATCATGTTGTAATCGTGTTGTAATGGATCATGTTATAATATGCAATTTATTTTATATCTGATACTTTGTAACTTGTGATTTAATGTTAAACCAAACCTTCTTTTAACGGTTCTTTATTTCAAGAGATGTTTTGAACTTGTAAATAAAAGCTGCATTTCATTATATGCGTTCTGTATGTTTTTATATTAGTGAGATAAGTTAAATTATTGATTGAACAAACTATTGATCACAACAGACTTTGTATGGTTTTTATCAAATATTAAATTGTGAAAAGAACAAGAAAATAAAGGATATATGGAAAGTTATAAGAAAACATCCATTTTAATATAGCTTGCAAAATATTTTTAAACAATACTTATAAAATGTTACTTGACATTAAATTATTCCTCAAATGCTTTTGAGTTAAGTATATTCATAAAATTTTATGGAGCTGTCTTAAAAGAATCATATATCAAATATTAGATTAAATATTGGAGAATAAAGATTATGAGTTAAAAATCAAAATTTGGTAAACAACTAATTTTAATTTTGGCTTGCATTGTTTTGATTGATCAGGTTCTAATTTTCAATTTGTAATACTAGATTTTCAATACTTCAAGTCTGATATGGACTAAAGTATTCCTGTACCTCTAGTTTTAACAACCCCTTGAAAGTTCAGTCAATATTTTATGTTGACGAAATAAATCTTTAGATGGCGCCAAAACACTGGTCAAAACATCAATATGGTAGTTTGATGGGTGCGGGCTTCCTCTTTTGACATAGTAATGAATCAGATGACCTTTTCATATTGAAAGAATATATATTAATAGTAAGTTAAAAGATCTTTTGTTTGTAAATAATATGTCCCAATTAGGTGTAAATTATATGTTTCAACTAATAAATTAAAAAGCTTTGTATTTTTTAATAACTCATCGATAGGTCAGAAGAACTTTCCATTCTATAGCAATATGATTGAACAGTCCTCGAATCATATATAATTGAATTTTGTGATTATTTTAGTAAAAATCTAATCATAAACAATGTGGAGATCCTCAGTTGTCGCAGCATCAAATCGTATATTTCCTGGACTCATACATCATGAAATAGAAGCAATTTATCAGTATATAGGTATAGGTATGTAGAATGAAAATGGTGAAAACAATTTGTTTCCACCATAATTTGTAGTTTACGTTTTTTATTTTACACAATATCTTTATCGTGCCAAGTTCATAAAACTTAATGAGCCAAATTTCAAGATATTATCTAGAATCTCTTAATTCAAAATATGAAGTTTAATTATATATATAATTTGATATTCTCTGATATTATTAATAGCTAAATTGGTTGCTTTTATTGCAATCTGCGAAATTACATGCATAACTAACATTCTTTATGAATACAAACTTGTAGTTCTTATGATTTATAGTTTTTGCTTTTTACAGGAAATGGATTGCAGTCTAGCTTATATTTACAAATGGCATTGTATTTAGGTATATGGATATATCCATTTTGGTTTTTCATAGAACTTGTTCATCTAGATGAGGAAGTAAACATAACTATATATAGAAAACATATTTTAGGATTCAGCATTTCAAAATCATATATGTAGGAAAATGCTATTTCGTTTTACAGTATTTTCATTGGGTTGGTGGATATAAATATATAACTGTGGCAGTATTTATTGTTGTATCCATATTGCAAGGTGTACGACTGTTTTTAGGATATCTTGGGAATTTGGCACAAAAGGTAACTTGCATCAATAATGTAAAAATAATAAGATATATAAATTGTGTGCTAATACATTAGGATTAAAAATATATTTTAGATCCCAGAACTGACAAGCTTTTGGCTTATATCTGTTTTCATAATTTTCCCTTTGGAAGTATATATCCTTGTCAACAGCATAACTGCGGTCCGCTTTAGTGAAACGATCATAAATAGTATTATGCTACTTACAGTTACCGTGGAAATTGTAACAGGTGCACTGACTTTAAACAGATTTGCAAATCATTATACTAAAAGATTCTACGTTGCACAATTATTAGGGATTGATGATAAGATAACACAATAAAACAAATAACAAACATGATGATAAAGCATATTATCATATATAGCTATCATATATAGCATATATCATACATATTATCATATATCATATAAAGCATATTAAAGCATGTTATATAATATGATAAAAATTTGATATTACTGATTTTAAACTTAAACGAAACCAGTTTGTACATATATTCACTGCACTATTTGTTTTTCAAGTGAAATGAATACTCACGTTTAAAACGTAAATTTATATATACACACCCTGTATAAAATGTCATATTTAAAAGTATTGTTTCGCATTCACGAGATTTCGTCGTGAATTCTACTTTGTGGAAATCTCGAATTGGATCGCGGGCCAATACTTTTCAATGCGACGGGGAATGGAACGTGAAAATCTTGTATATCTCTGAATTCGAAAACAATTAGGAGAAGAAGTGAATACTTTTTTCACTTTCTTCAATGCGAAAGTTCGCATTTGAAAATTATCGATTGCGATTGAATGCAAGGCATATTTGAAATGAATTGAATCCTTTTTAATGCGAAGAATTCACCACTGCCGTCTCGCATTTAGCGCGGTGAAATTTAATAGGAACTAATACTTTTCAATCCCTTTCTTCGGATCAGAAAGCAGAATTTCAAACAAGCAGACGTATTCAAAATGTCAATACTTTTTAATGTTTCAATTCGATATTTTATACAGGGCATATAATATAAATTTCAAATTTATCTTGAGAGGAAAGATTGGCAAGAATTGTGTGGTTTTTATGTAATTTTATATTTTTACTTAGTAATACATATATATTCTCTTCTCGTCAGCTTTTGCAAACTCGGTACGATATATTGTCTCCGTAATATTTTTGTTTTTGCTAAAAATCTAACTTATTAAAATAATTTAAGATATATATATATCATACTGTACATATGTGTATGTTTGTTTAATAATATACAAGTGTCTTTCTGCTCTAACGACCTATTTGTTTCTGTTAGAACCTGCGTCTCTCTCTTTCTCTCTCTCTCTTCTCTGTTTATCAATCGCTTTTTAAAATTCTACTTATAGTATATAAGTGTATATATATAATTGCATATATATTATATAATAATAGGTTCTCTATGAAATTTCCGCAATGTAGTTATACAAGCACTTCCAATATGTCTCATATTATATCAGTAATATATTCATTATATTGAATAATGCATATTTGTGCACGTTACGGATATTATTAATCAATTGTTTTGCACTAGTGGGAATTAAGACTACATCACGAAACGCGCTAAAGAGACCATTTTTACAAAATAAATTATTATAAAGTAGTTCCCTGCATATTCAACATGTAAAATATTGTACATGAGCAAAATGTGTGTACCCCGTATAGTTATTAAATATTTGTCACTCGACTATATGATCATACGCGTTGTTATATAAAATTCATGTCACTTGCGTGCACGCACGTACACCTCAAAATCTACATATATAGCAACGAGTGCAAGCTCTTGTTTGATTCTCGACGGTATGCAAATCGTATATCCGAAAATATCCACGCGAGAATTCTTAGTGGAGTAGAACAATAAATAAATAGATAATTGAATTGAGGGAGGAACCTTCTAAATTACATGTGCAAATCGTCTCATGCCATTGTTCTAGCCGTAGTTGTACTACATGTATACCATGGCAGTATAATACTTTGATTAACGAGCCTAAATAAATATTGCACTATCGCCACGAAGTATCGAGAATAAAAACTAGGAATTCAACATCTTGTCATATCGTTGTGTTCATAGAGCAACGGAAATTATCAGCTACTGAATATCAGATCAGAATGAGTATCAGAGCAATGACAGAATGAAACGCGAGTGATGGTGCGTACTTCGATGAAATCAGTGGGAAAATAATTTGTTCGCTGTTGTATCCTCACCTTCGCCGTACACCTCTTGTCATATTATAATATATATCGCTACTAAAAAAATATTTTAAACTTATCTACGCGGCTTTGTCGACAAATGCAATTAGCACGCAAAAAAAAAAAATATATATATATATATACCAAGAGAGAACTTACCACTGAACTTCGCACTGCTTAATTTTTAAAGTATCCGCACTGAGTTTTATCAAACTGAGAGTACAGAAAGAAAATATCTTTGGAGAGAGATCATTTACAGTGAGTATTTAAGCCGATATTGCTTATCAGAGGTAACGACCTTCGCGACGGATTGGAAAGTCAATTTATCCGTCACTATATACGCTGACCTTTAAAAGGCAGTGGGAAGAGGATGTTTGAGCACATTCCCAGTGGAGTCTTCGGCCACGAGAGTGAGGGTGGTGAGGCAGTGGGGTGGAGGTGATGGTACTAGAGCCTCCAAAGGTGGTCGCGAGCCAGGAAATTGACGAGAACCCACAACCATCCCTCCTGAAGTTTCCCTAAGCTCTATGACACGTATTCCGTATCGCGATCTCACCACATTCCTTACAAGGAAAATCGATCATTATTAACAATCGTCGCACCGAAACTTACCTGACTTCTCACTGATATGTAAGTCTTATGGAAAAGATATCAGAGGATATTTCTTAACTTTGTATTGGTCTCTTAATCACATTAATTCCCTGGAAGAAGAGTGTATTTTCCCGAACAACTAATTTACCTTTTCCCATCGTATTCGATTTCATGATGATGCCTGGTGGAAAGATTGTCCATTTCATTGTTGAACCAGCGATGATGGGCGAGCAACGCCGCGCACGACGGGCCCCAGAAGGTACGATCGGACTGCGAAGGCGGTTCCGAAGCGATGAGGCTCTTAGTGAGCGATCTGTTGAGCTCAGGGCTAGCTGGCGCCGAAAGTCTCCCAGGTAACTGCCTCGAAGTGGGAGACGGTGTTGGTCTGGATGTCTCCGAGAGCAACCTGCCTCTTCGCGGACTCGACAGCACGGATTCTTGTACAGTCACCGTGACGCTGAGTGGTCTACTAAGGGCGACAGTCGTATGTTGAGGGTCCCTTCTGATGGGATTGCGATTGAAGTCGATTCCAGCAGCCCCTACGAAAACCCTGTCGACGTAGTCGAATCCTCGACCCATTATTCCCTCCCGAGTGTGACCGAGATCAAAGGTATGGCCAAGTTCGTGTAGGACGGAGCCCAAGGTCGTCGCTAAACAGCCGCCGTGGGTGCCGCGGTAGTTGCTATCGTCCATAAGCTGCTCGGTGTCCACGATAGTGACGTCCAAGAATCTCGGTAACACCTGAATTACGGTAGCAAGCTTAACTTTAGAGTGTCATCCTTCTCATACCATCTTTACATGCAAACGGTAGGAGACACCGCATCAGTTAGCTCAACAGTCATGTTGGCCGAAATGGCCGTCGAGTCAACTTGAAGCCGGTGTACGAATCATTCCTTGATTCGCGAGCCAACGGACCTGAGCCATACACGTAGGCCAAGTATGAAGACACGCTGAGCCGAAGAGCGCCAAGCCACCTCCGCCGAGAGCTGCATGGCCTTGGGTCCTCGCCAAGGTATCCTCGTGCGTTCGAGGACTAGGCGCGCCACGGTATCTCGTACATGAGAGAAACGCTAGATATTTACGATTCCTGGACGCTAAGGGGCCGGTCATGAGTTCGCGCGCGATCAGCTCCCAGAGCTCCCTCTGCTTCATCGCCCGGGCGCGGTCCACGTGGAGCATGCTGTGCATCACCAGGCATTCCGGCCCGTCCAAGTCCCTCTCCAATTGGAAAGTTTTCCTACCGTAACCGGCCTCACGCAGCTTCTCGGCCGTCAAAGTCTGAAGTAGTCTGGCACCGAGCCCTATCCTCGTCGCCGCGCTTTCGGGCGATCGATCCTCACCCCGTGGTCCCTGAAAACACAGATCAAACCGCGAGCCGTAATCGTCACGATGCACTCTGCATGCTGTGAATAAACTACGAGATCGCAATCATTTCGCGGAATTGAGCAATAAAGGGACCTTAATCAGCCTTGTCGTGGCCGAGTGCATAGGCAAGCTTGGCACGGCAATACGGCTGTTCGTCAAACACAGTGACGATCGATAATCGGGAAGGTGCACGCCACGTTCTCTCCCAACGGCTGAATTACTCGATGAATCCGTGCGCGAATCGAAACGAGCCCGGAAGATCGATAGTGCTGGTCAAAGCATTATTGAAACGACTGTCTATTGTTTGAGACTTCAAGCGATTGTGCACGATGCACGATGCGGCGACCCTTGATGCCTTACTGATCTTGAGGAAAGCTGCACTTGTCGTCAAACTGAAACTTGAAACTCACCTGAAAATAACCGTCATGACCGGCGCAGATGACGTAGACCGGTGTGACCCGAAGCCTGGTGGTCCTCGGCTCGTATATCAGGATGAGCCTCCTCTTGTGGCCGCCTGCCTCGAGTTCCAACTTGTTAGGTCCACGCGCCAAGTCCACCAGGACGCGGAACTGTCCGGCGATGATCGGCCACTCGGAGGTCACGTTCTTGTAACCCCGAACGGTGATGTAGCTGCATAGCGCAGGTGCTCGACCTCTTATCAGGGCCAAGCTGTACGTCAAGGTCTCGCCGTCCGCTAAGTTGCATATCGTGATACCTTCCGGATTACCGTTCGTCGCGAAAGTGCGATGACGGTGGTGGTTGTCCGCCAACGTCGCGTCTGCAAGTACCTGAGTACACGTGCAGGGATTTGTTTTTGTATTCGGCAGATCGGATAGACGGATAGATGAGAAGAGCACTGTGAGAGCGACGGGAGAGTAAAGTAAGAAAAGTTACCGATGTCTCAGAGTAATTTCAACGGAACTGTTTGCAATTATATGTAATCTCGCAGGGTACGTGATTACGCGCGTCTGTATCGAACCACAGCAGATCGAAATCCCTGTCCAAAGTCAATCCGATTAAGCCTCCTGCGCGAGTGGCGCGACATAAGACACTTTAAAGGCATCGAGGCGTTATCGATTGTAGCTTTCGCAGCCGTAAGCACACCGGCTTATTGTTCGTAAACTCCTGTATGCCGGAGGGCGATCTCCGTTATTGAACCGTATTAGGATATAGACAAGACTGCGCGCCATATCGGCGTTGAGTTCTATTGATATTATATAATATATAATATAATATAATATTATGATATGATATTATAATATGTGAGAATGAGAGACAATCGGCGCCTTGACTTGCGCCATTTCTGCCGCAATTAAGCTAATATTCTACGCTTATTCTATTATACTTTTCGTACATTGAGAGACTATTCCGTTAAAAAAGGAAAAAAAAACAGATGCGACGTAGAAAGAAGAGAAATAAATTTTCAGAGGCGTCAGTCGCGCAGGTTGGCGTTGGTTTTGCACGAGTTTTGGCGCCAGTTTGAGGTCACATGCAAAACTCTCCCGACGAAAACGGCGTGCCAAGTTTCCACGAGCAAGGAAAAACAAGTCGATACTCCAATTCTGGAGCGGTTATTGGGCAAATACTCAATTACGAGTACGCGAGATGCATGCTTCCGATTTTGATAAACGCACGTAAGTGTTCGCAGGAACACGAAGATACGTGTACGGTTCACTTGAGTGATCAATACGTCCGCATAAGCGGCTGCATGTTAATGATCTGTTTCACAGGCCGAATGCTTGACGTGTGTTATATACGCCGTAACACCGACTTTTACAGCGGGGTTTCACCTACGACCTACGTCGCGCTGGGCTAAAGTTGAGAATCGTAGGAAACCGTAGCGAGCAAACGTCAAGACGCGTACGCGCGCTTCCGAAATTACGAATGTCCGTCGTACGACTCTATTTTGAACTTTGCGTTGTTCGGAGAAGAGAAGCCGATGGAGCAACGGAAATACGGTCCGCGTCAACGACACACACACACACGCAGGGTGCCGATTTAAATATAAAAATGGCGATGCAAGAAAGCGTGGTTTTTATAGTTTTGCAGTCTCCCTTTCCTTTGGAGATATTTTCGTGAATCCTCGTCACAAGAGATTACGCGGCGATCTCATCGCACGAGACTGATCCGAAATTCTCCGGAGAAACCGACGAAATAATAAATTTTGAAAATGAACGCCGCGGACGCGAGCGTCGGTCACACGGGGGCTTCCCCGTCACGTGCTGCGATCACGCGGTGGATTTAGCAAGCGTGACAGCGCGTACTCGCCGCAGCGCAACGATCTCCGTTCTTCCGGTCATTAAAGTGCGTCGCGTCGAGTATCCGAGCGGAAATCGCGTTTTCACATCGCGCGCCGTTTGTTCCCCGCGATCCGGCTCTCCCTACGACATCCTGATTTCTTTCATTCTCTTACCGAGCGACTTCCGTTACACTCGACTAACCAGTCGCGAGTAAAACAGATGACAGACGTAGCAGACGACACATACGCGGATGCAGAAACGCCTGTCAGCTACGCGACCTCTTTCCACGCACGACATTCGCGCTTTTCCATCGGCGTGCAGGAGAGGCGCGCGACGTCCCGAAGTTCATTCCACGTCCGCGTACTTGCCGTCTCTCCAGGAGTCCGGGAGTTTCGAGCGAGACGATTCGGGAATCCTTGAGCGGACGGGCCGGAACATTCGTCGCGGAAACGTTAGCGAGGCACGTAATAACGCAACGTGTCACTCGGGGGATCTTCCTGCGCGCTCGTCGACTTACCATTTTGCAGGAGGCGAGTAGGTGGACGAACGTCGAGGAGGTACGAGCGTTTCAGCCGGCTCCGCGGACATGCGGAGAGAGAGACTGTGGCGCCGAGGCGGCGGCGAGTGGCGGGTTGCGGTACTATGGAGTTTCTGCAGCGGCGCATGCAGACGCGCACCCGCACTCGTCGCGTCCTTGTCCCGCTCACTCGCGCATCTCGTCGCTCTCCGTCGCCGGATGTCCCTCGGGCACCCTCGCGGCGCGTCTCCACCCCCGTCGTGTATATTTTCACTGCACCACTCGTCGTAGCGCGGCTACGTGCCGCGTGTGCGACTGCAAAATGCGATGCAAACTGCGAAGCTGCTTGCGAGATACGACGGCGCGACGCTCGGGCACGGGGGGGGAGGGGGGAGGGGAAACGGACGGATCAACCCTGCGATTCACATGCGGCCGAAGATTCGTTGGCTATTTATCGCCAAATTTTCCGACCCTTTCCCTCCCCCCCGCCGCTATTCTCCCGCTGCAGCCGTTTTATCTCGGGCATAACGGTGAGTCATGTCGTTGACTATCGCTTTCATAAATTGCGAGATGCGGGGCGCGCGAGAGCACACCGTTCTCCGTCGTCGTAAAAATGTTCGTGGACTTGAATTATCCTCGATTGCAACTCGCGACGTTCATGCAAGTCGCAGACGTACGTTGATTCCGCGTCGCGTGAACATCGCGAGTTAACGCCCGTTTATGGCCACGAAAGGGGCGGACGGACAGACAGTCTCTCCGCATCGCGCGAAATGTTTTAAGCAGCCTGAAGATTCAAACGTCTGAAAATTATTCAAACACTTGCCAATTTCTGTCGAGCAGGCGATTGGCTCGGGCGCTCTTCACCTTGTAGCTCTCGCGTTTCGTTTGCGCCGTTTAGGACTCGGCCGTGTCAGTTTCCAGTCGATCGAATACGTCGCCTTCAAGGAGACTCAGACCGGCGCTTTGGCGTTTGCATCAATTTTCAAGGTGCTCACCGTCGGAACGCCTCCTCGTGCGCGAGATGTCCGAACAAGCGCGCGTCGCTCTTGCAGCGGGTAACTGCAATTTCAGGCACACTTCCAAGTGCTGTTCCGTCCGTTGTTATCTCGCGTTGCTGTGAGACGCGGATTAATCCAACGAGTAATCCAAGGCTCTCCGGCGCTAATGAATGCGCATATCACGCAGCCTGCAGTCGAGATCCGCAGTCGGGAGAGTGCGAAAATTGGCTCGTTTGTGGAGTTATCATCGCGGCGATCTTCCACTGCCGGCGCGACCCCGTGAGAATCGATAGACGTATCTAAGCGCGAGTGGGTGTTTTCGACCTCGCACTTTCGCTCGCTGAAAGATTAGCTTTTGACGAACTTCCGAACAACAACTCGATTTGGCCGAATCCATGTCCATCGTCGCCTGTGCCTCGCCAATGTGTCCTCAACAGCCAATAGTAAGGGCAAAATGTACCTTACCTAAAGGTGCCGGCCGAAGCTAACGCGCAGACAAAGCAAAGTAACTTGGTGTGGAGTGAGAAAGAATGTTACCCAAACTTTTCCAAGATACATCGTGCTATAAAAACTCCCACAAAAGAATAGAAACTAAACTTCTATACAATGAGCTGAACGAATACTACACAGTCCGACACATCCCCGGCAGCCCCTATAATCATTGTTTAGGATTTTAAAAATTCACACTCGGAGCATACCGAGAAACCAAGACAAGAAGCGGTCAGGGCAACACTGAGGTTTCGGTTCGCTTTTGGTTATTCGACGCTTATGGTACATCCACCGTATCCACAGTCGAATGACGCTAACGTGAGACGAATTGGTGCGAACACCAAACTCAAACGATCAAACCCCCTCGATTTCAACTTTGCGACTTCAAAAAGCGAGCGTACAGCGTATCGTGCGACTCTGTCGGTGTTTTTTTCCCGGAGCAATTACTCATACGGATAGACAATAGGACGGCTGCCCGTGCATTTCTGCCTGACTTTAACTTACAAATCCGCGACAAAGGCGCGTTCTATAAAAAGAATGAGGGAGGGGCAGAGAGGGAAACATCCCGGCTCCTCGAGATCGGCAACACGCTTCAACGTCGCATTATGTCCCGGCATTATGCTGCCGGCAAGAGATCGCGGGGATTGAAACTCGATTGCGCCGGCGTTAAAGAGCGATCTTTCGGTGTCAAGCGGTGGCACACACAGGTGGGAATGTATCAGCGCCGTTTGAGGATTGAAGATGTCTCCGAGTCAAGCGTGTCAAGGTCGCGCGAGGAGGCATACGATCGTGCTCGTTCGGAATATGCGGCAGGTGCAGCGTGGCACGACCTGCACGCATTTGCATCCACTCGTCTGAGAGGAGAGGAGAGAAGAGAGGAGAGGAGACGCAGGGGGGCGGCTGCTCGAGGTCGGCTCGAAATAAATCCGACAATTTCCATGGATGATAAATCTACGGCAACTCGCGGCGATATCGCATTACCCCTCGCTGTCCATTGCCGCAACATTGCGCAATAAATCCTCCTTCGCTTTGCGGAACTTCAGAGCGGGTAAACAAACGCGGGAGGGGGGAGGGGGGAGAGCGAGCGAGGGAGGAGGATGCGTTCCCGTCTCGAGAGATGCGATGTATCTTCCACCATCGCATCGATCGATATCGACCTCGCGGATGTGCGGGCCTACGTAATTCGAAGTCGGATGAAGGAACCGTCGGGGTGCGACGAAGACGAGAGACAGAGAGCGCGCCTTTAACTCGCACACGCAATGCGTAAAACACGCATTATTGATCTCCTGCCTTCGCCGCCCATCTTCCCTTGCACGTCCCATGGAGACAGAACGGAGAAGCTGGACTCGAGTATCGGACGGGAAACGGTCGCCATGCCTTTGGCTTGCCGTCAAGGTTATTTCCGCGTGATCGAAATTATTTTACACGAGGGAAAAAGAGGGAAAGGAAGTGGTTCATCACGAGAACAATTGCCATCGGCATCTCAAAACGGAGTCGGTTCAGTTTTTTTTTTTCCTTAACCTTTTCCTTAACCTTTTTTCCTTAATTTTACGCTGCACCACCCCGGTACCCTGAAATGCTGAGAGACCTGCGGCGCGCTTCTCGCCTCGCTATTGGCCGATCGAGTGTCGCATAAATGTCAGGCTGCGGAATGTGCCAAAAAAGCGGAAGCTGCCTTGGGAGAAAATTGCTCTCTGCTCTCGCGAGCTCACGAAGGAGAAATCAGTCATTTCGCTATCTCTTGATGAACGCGCTGTTACTCCATGACGATGGACGAGGAGAGAATCGCGATGATCGGATTTGGAAAAATTGTAATCGCACACCAGAGTGTAATTAAAGCGGGGAGATAATTTTCTACCCTCCCGTGAAATTCGAGGGGAACGTGACGGATTCTCGACAGAATTTCTTTAATTTCCCCGTGGTAAAGATAATAACAAATATCCTCGAAGAACTTCGTTATCGTGACTCCTTATCTTATTTTCTTATCGAGCGTAGATTTCGAAGTTCTTTACCTCCGTAGTATCTTAGCTTTACATCCTATCGCGTTTATCTCGGAAGAAAAGAAGACACGATCACGAGAAATACAAAGATTCACGGTAACTGCGTTTTTCCAGCGTATGTTAGAGACCGTCGACGTCGCGGCGAGAGAAGGAAGACACCTCTCGTAGCTGCGGGGGCTATTATCGCGATCGGGGAGATAGTAGGCCAACTTTCGAGATGACAGTTTTATTCTCCGTGCATGGCGGACTGCGCAAAGCGAGCCGGCCGGCGATCCTTTCGAGCATCGCTCGTAAGACGCGGCGGCGGCGGCGGCGGCGGCGGCAGCGGCGGCGGTGGAGAAGGGAAAGAAATCCTCGAGCACGTTTCCGCTACTTTCCGAGCACGATATCGTGAGAATTCGCGGTGAAAAGTGGGCCCCGCAGACGGCGATCTTGCGCGAGGATAAAAGTTGAGAAACCGAGGGAAATCCTAGCAGCGACCTAGGACGAAAAATCCGTGCGCGCGCTCCTTCAGATAAATCGAGATAGGGAGAGGGAGAGGGAGAGAGAGAGAGAGAGAGAGAGAGAGAGAGAGAGAGAGAGAGAGAGAGAGAGGAAGAGAGAGAAGGACGACAACGAGTAGGAAGAAGAGGAGGAGGAGGAGTTTCTTATTCACGACATGAATAAGAATATCCCCATCGACGATTCACGATGTATTCATACCGTTTCGAGGTATACACGAGTGAATCATATTTTCGGCTGATCGACATGAAACCTTAAACATAGATCTCACGCCTTCAAGCCGTCTACTTTTTCATGTTCCACAATTTCATTCGTACGTGAAGAAATTCTACCAATCACCAGTTCATTTCCAGCCAATTCTCCAGCCAAAATTTCAAATTCACGCTCTTCCTCTCTCTCTCTCTCTCTCTCTCTCTCTCTCTCTCTCTCTCTCTCTCTCTCTCTCCGTTTTATCGCGCGATTGTCGTGCTCCGGCTTTAATCGCCGGCCGGCATGTGCGAGAGAGTCTAATTCGATCCGCGACCGACTTGTCTGACCTATAGCGCCGACCTGCAATGAACGTGAACGCGCGCAGAGCCCGCGGGATGCAAGTCTTTTTTCTCGATATCGGCCGATATCGTCCGACGGGATCACTCGCGGTTTACGGTAAGCGTGGTAAGAGTGGTCTTCTCAGTGCCGTGCCGTTAGAGAGTCTGCGAGAGTCCGGGCAGTTTTGCAGCGTAGAAGCGCGGGTAGCGCGCTCGTCGTGTCGAGAGCAGCACGATCCTCTCAGTCGCGGGGTTAGCGACCGTGAAAGTACTCCCTTGCAGAAGTGGGACGGCCATTTTTCAAAATCGTTGCGACGATTGCGTGCGCCCACAACCGACACACTTCGCGGCGGGTCGTTGCACCGGAGGTCGGTTTCCTCGTTCTTCTCACCTTCGGCCGTCCTCGGCGCAACGGACGGACGGACGCTCCAACCGTGAAAGAAAGTGCAATTTCCTAATAAGTACGCCGGCTAACGCGTCGCGCTAGTTAGCTCCTCCTGATCTTCCTTTCGATTCCGCGGCGCTTTTCTCCTCACCGTCGCAGGAGAACTCTCGATACAGAAAGAGAGAGAAAGAAAGAGAGGACAGAGAGAGAGAGAGAGAGAGAGAGAGAGAGAGAGAGAGAGAGGGAGAGAGAGAGAGAGAGAGGCAAACGGCGCCTTCGCAAACAGCCACGACATTACGATAATACGGATTTTCCGTTCGAGATTGAGACTCTCGTTCGGCCGAGCAGCCGACGAGATCCAAGTCGAAGGTTCGAGGATTCTATTCTCCGCGTCGACCTCCGCCGGTTACCTTTGAAAA